TCAAGAAATTTCTACCAGAACCTTCCCTGAAAATTCCCTGGCATATTATAATATCCTGTCCTGCAATCAGCCATAGTGCACATTTCGTTTGGTTAGACATCATTTCTGAGCAAAACTCCTTTTTGTGAATTAGGAATGGCAATCACGTTTAGGCTTCCTGAATAGAAATGGATGATTGCAAATGTCATCTCCAAATCCCGTCTCCTGTATGGAAGCCGACCTTGTTTTTGGTCTATTTAAAACATGAGATTTCATATGCTAAAGGTCTTATTTTTGTTTCAGTCAGGACTGGCAAAACTACCTTTGGTCTGTTGTCTTTTATCAGGAATGAAGCATCACTAATTGCTATTCCAATGGAACAGCAGCTTAGTAGGGGAGAAGGAAAATTGTGTTGGTCCACTTTACATGAAGAACATATACAGTGTAGCCTTTTAGACTGGCTCCAGAGATCACTTTCAGAGCCTAAAATTATCTAGCTGCAGCAGTGTCACCTGTAAAACAACAGGCCACACAATTTTGTCTTTTTCCGACAAACCCAGACACTACTCCAAGGCCTTTGTCCTTAAGTTGCTTTGCCAACAGTATCCAATATCAACCCAACCCAACTGTTAATGAACAACAGAAATACTCTCAATAATATAGGGCAAAAACTCAACCTAAGTGATGGCTATTTCTGCATTCGGCCTTTTTAATGTAAACAAGCTGTCCTGGTAGCCTGAATTAACCTCAAATGTACCTGATTCAACTCCTAAATCATGCCTAATTCATGCTTAAATTTTCCTTGTGTCTTAGGAAAGCTTTCCACAGTTTTCCCCGCAGGAAAGCAATCTATCTATAGCAGTTTTCAAAGATCTGAAAGTCTCTAATGTCTTTTCCCAATAGCAGCTACTGTCAATGACATCTAAAGACTTGGTGTTTCTCTTGATCTTCCAGCTGTTTCTACAACTGGCTCTTCCAGGACAATCTTTCTTTTCCCTGCCCCCTCCCCAATTCACTGCTTTGAAAGATCAGCTCTAAAAACTTCCAAAAGTTAGGGTTCCTCTGCTCTCCCCTCAGTAGGTTGGCCGGATTATGAAAATTATGTGCTATGTTCATAATTGACAAATGGATAAGAACGCAAGGAAACAACCCACTTTAATTTTCATTCTGTGGAGAGGAATACATTGTCTCCTGAGAACTTCCCAATACTTTTTCAAGGGGTTTTGTTTGCAATCAGTTGTAGTTCTCACAATGCCCTAATAGCAGGGACAAAGGCCTGCAACATTTTATTGCTTATTGATTGATCAGATTGCTGCACTCCCTATCATAACATGTTCTATGGATTGGTCAGTTTAGGATCAATCAAGACCCACATTTTCCTGGCATCTGCTCACTAGTTTAGATCAAGGAAGCAGATCCATCCAGGGTGGTATTGATTTACCTTCGTTACCGGTTTGCAAATGTGAGGGTGCGTGTGACGCCTCTGCGCATGTGCAGGATCTTCTGCTCAGGCGCAGAGCGTCAAAAACAGGATGTGATGATGTCTAGGTGAGTGGGCGGAGCCTCCCACAGCCGCTCCTACCAGCTGAATATCACCACTGGATCCACCTCAGTATATAAGGATGGTACAGACAGATTGCTCCAAAAATTATTTAAAAAACAAAAAAGCTTTGATAGCACACATCTGGAAAGCTTCCCTTAGAAAGATACTGAAGTCATTTCCACACCAGTAATTTATAGTATCTTCTAGAATCACCCAATCATTATTGTGCCAAAATAATAGTAGCGAGGACAAAATAATATAGTGAGGACAGGCTGTATATCACTTTACAATTGTTGGAGGCTGCTATGAGTCACAAGTGTGGAAATGACCTATAACTAATTCATCAACGTACATTCCTCTCATGAACAAAATAACAAAATTAATACTTGTAGCCGTATTCCAGAGGGATTTTGTACGGAAGAGAGAGAGAGAGAATCGGGCAGTGAGTGGGAGACTTCAGCTTGATTGAAAGCTTGGGGGATAAGCATTATGGGCAGGATTAGTTAGGACAGTGTTTCTTGAATTTTCTGCCATCATAGATCACTAAATAAATATTTTTTTAAAAGATGTGGGGACTTCTCACTTAAACAAAGCCCCCTTCCTTTAGTTTCATATTTAATGTAGAGTAATTCACTATTTGGTGATAGGATAGTTGTATTTGTAGATACCTTACTATTCCTTTGCATTTCCCAGACCTTTCTCAGCCAAATTTTTCATCAAACATTCAGTGTAAAAGTATTTAGTAACAGTTGAATAATATAATGCACCCAATAACAGCAACTCTTAGCACAAATTTCTGTTACTCAATAATGTTCCTCAGGAGAAATAATCTTAGGGAGAATGGATCCCCAAGTTCACTAAATCTTACTAAGTGCATTTGCTGTTTGCATTTTCTTTTGGGGTCACTTGTGCCAAATCTGTTTCATTTGGACTCACGGTTAATAACTGTGACCATTGTCAGTTTTCCGAATTCCTGTTGCTGCTTGTATTATCACTCCCACACTGCAAGTTCAGTTTATAGATACTGATCCATTGCCACAAAGCATCTGCAAAGTTCAGAAAATGAGAGGCGCACTAAGGCAGTGAGCTGGTTCTGATGTGGCTAGTTGACTGGCAATGAACATGGTGAGGCTTTGGTGAATCAGTGGTTTAGGGAATGAGATGCAAGATTGGCAGCTTTATCTTTCTTTCTTTCTTTCTTTCTTTCTTTCTTTCTTTCTTTCCTTCCTTCCTTCCTTCCTTCCTTCCTTCCTTCCTTCCTTCCTTCCTTCCTTCCTTCCTTTTATGAAATGTATGTTTTACCTCAATCCAAACAACCAAGTTTATAAATAATATTTTTAGCAGTTAAAGATGCTGCGCAAAGGGGTGAGCTCCCATTCCTGCCCCAGCTTCTGCCCACCTAGCAATTTGAAAGCATGCAAATGCAAGTAGATAAATAGGTACCACTTCGGTGGGAAGGCAACAGTGTTCCATGCGTCTCAACATATGGTCATGTTGACCATATGAGGGAGGGAGGGAGGGAGGGAGGGAGGGAGATTTGAGCATTCAGTAGGAATGAGTGACTGGCTGGGTTGTTTTCCTGAATTTTTGGGGGTAAGATTTTAGAAGTGATTTGTCATTGCCTTCTTTTGAGAGTTGGGAGAGTATGTCTGGCTCAAGGTCACCCAGTGGTGAAATCATACCGGTTTGCACTGGTTCGGGTGAACCAGTAGTGATAAAGCTACTGGTTCGGTGAAACGGTAGTAAAAAAAAAGTTACCGGTTGGTTTCCGACGATCAGCTGTGCTGCACAATTTAAAATCGCTGCTTTCTAGTGAATCTAAATCACACGGCATAGCTGTTTCCCCCCCATTTCTGTTCTACTTACCTTCCCAAGCCTCCTTTTTCCGCACGCAGCGCAAGTTTGGCACATACTGTGCATGCGCACACATGCAGCATTCATTTGGTGTGGACTCTGCATGTGCACGCAGCATGTGTTTGGCATGCACTGCGCATGCATGTGTGCACAGCGTGTTTTTGGCATGCACTGTGCCTGCACGCGCTGCACATGCCCAGGCAGCGAACCGGTGGCAAACTGGGGAAGATTTCACCACTGAGGTCACCCTATTGTCTTTATGCCTAATGTAGAACTAGAAGTCACTGTCTCCCGGTTTCTAGCCTAGTGCCTTAACCACTAGACCAAATGAGCTCTTTTTTTATTATTATTATTATTTTTTTTATTTTTATTTTTTTAATTTGATTTATATGCCGCCCTTCTCCGGAGACTCAGGGCGGCTTACAATGCGTTAAGCAATAGCCTTCATTCTTTTGTATATTTTATACAAAGTCAACTTATTGCCCCCACAAACTGGGTCCTCATTTCACCTACCTTAGAAAGGATGGAAGGCTGAGTCAACCTTGAGCCTTGGAGAGATTCGAACCAGCAGAAATTGCAGGCAGCAGCTGTGTTAATAACAGGGTGCACTAAACCACTGTACTATCAAGGCTCTTTTAATTGCTCTCAAAGTGTTCTTGTTGTTTGATCACAGGCTATTTTATTGTTTCTGTCAGGTACGAGTGGGTGATCATATACACTAAAGTTAAGAAATAAATGAAAGACAAATAACATGAAGAAGAAGGATGATTGGGGGGAATAAGACTTCTCCCATGCAGTTTCCACAGACCACCTGGGCAGATTTGGGGCGGGGGGCGATCCTACAACGCTGCAGCAGAAGAGGAAAGGAATAGGATGAGGAGAAAAGCTTATGATGGATCTCTAGTTAGCAAATTCAAATACAATAGAATATATCAGTCAAAAAGTATTGCATCCATCAATTTCCATACCACACCAACCTCCTATTTAATTTACACTTGGTTCACTGTCATTCCTCATTGTTGAGAGACAGCCCCCTTGGATTGCTTGTTAACCCCTCAGTTTTGCTCTCAAGGCAGTGATGGGATTCAAGTTTTAACAACCGGTTCTCTGCCCTAATGATTTCTTCCAACAACCAGTTTGCCAAACTGCTCAAAAAGTTAACAACCGGTTCTCCCGGAGTGGTGCGAACTGGCTGAATCCCACCACTGTCTCAAGGAAGTTGTTCCATCAGCTGAAACAATCCTTCTGTGGAAAAAATAAGGCTGGATATTTAGAAACATCAAGTGAAAAGATGACTAATACCTTACACAACGACCTAGTACAGTCTTTTGCAATCTAGTATGCTTTGGACTTCAAGTCTATCATCTTTACTCAGTTTAAGAACGTATCAAATAAATGCAAATCAAAGCATACAATCATGTAAATTTTTTATTAATCAAATCAAGCCTATTCTTGATTTGATTAATCAAAAAATTCATAAGAAATCCAATCAGATTTCTTTAGAGGCTAACATCCTATTCAAATGCATTGGATGTATGGATCCAATGTAATTGTTTCGGGGGGTGGAGACAGATTATGGATGATTCCTGAAACTAATATCATGAACATTTCTCTTCTTTTCCAGTGTTCACTATCAATAAAGTTTCACTCCAGGCTTTTCCACAAAATGAAGTGCGCAATGGAGAATCACTCATCCTCAACTGTTCTGTGGACATTAGCAAGAATGAACATTTCCGATTGAATTACACATTTTCATTTTTCAAGGATGGTGAGCTTCTGTCCACTAACACAGTTGAACAAGATAGCACCCAGTATACAATCTCACAGGCTAGATTTTCTTCTTCAGGAGACTATGAATGTTCATTAAATGTTGAGAGAGAAAAAAAAATCCAGTGATCCTTTGCTCGTTAAAGTTGAAGGTAGGTGTCTCTTTATATTTTGAAGGAACAACTCAGATATTAAAATTGTTCTTTATAGATAGGAAAGATTAAACACAAATTTTCATTGTATTTTTACCACAGTGCTTTTTTCTAACTTTTCCTCCTTTCTTTACTTTTCTTTCTTTCTTTCTTTGTCTTTTTTCTTTCCTCCTTTCTCCCTTCCTTCCTTCCTCTTTCTTTCTTTCTTTCTCTCTTTCTCTTTCTCTTTTCTTTTCTTTCTACTTATTGCAGAAAATCTTTTTGTGTTATTTTTCATTTTCTTTACTTAACATATTTTAGACTTTTTCCTGGAAAGCACCCAGCCTTTTCACTTGTGTCCCATGTTTTTCATAAACACATCTTCCTGGTATTTTTCTGTGAATGTAGCTTCTCTTGTGTAAAATTCTATCTGGACTGCAGATTTTTATTCAGTTGTTTTTTGAAAATCCTTTTATTCTACCATTTAGTGTTACAAATCTCCAAAGCAACAAAACAGCATTTTCCAAGTCTGCATTACAAGGAAGAAATCCAAAGAGGTTTTGCAACATTTCAATGGCATTTGGCTCTAATCCATTAAAAAACCATGATATATAAAATGGCTTTTCTTTAGTGATCCTTTTCCCAAAGAAAGTGGCACTTTTTTCACTTTATCAAAAATATCTCTCCGTCAGTCTTTGGGCTATTTTTTTTTCTCCTGCCTTTATTATTTTTATAAATAACGCATACCTAATGCTCCTTCCTCCTCCTATTTTCCTCACAACAAGAAGCCTGTGAGCAGTGGTGAAATTCAAACTTTTTTACTACCGGTTCTGTGGGCATGACATCGTGGGCATGGCATGGCTTGGGCGTGGCAGAGGAAGGATACCATAAAATCTCCATTCCCTCCCCATTCCAGGGGAAGGTTGCTGCAAAATCTCCATTTCCTCCCGATCAGCTGGAACTCGGGAGGCAGAGAATAGATGGGGGCAGGGCCAGTCAGAGGTGGTATTTACCAGTTCTCTGAACTAGTCAAAATTTCCGCTACCAGTTCTCCAGAACTGGTCAGAACCTGCTGAATACCACCTCTGAGTGAGATAGGAGATCCCAGGAAATTTTAGGACTCTGGCCTTAATCTAGGAAGTTGAAAAAACATCTTAAGGAAAAGCAGGAGCCAACTATTTTCACATGGTTGCCAAGAACATAGCAGAGCCATGGTCATAAAGTCACCAAGCTTTGAGCTTGACGTAAGGGAGTATTTACTGACTTTTACACTTAATGTCCCTTTCTCTTACAAAAAGTTAAAGAAATCCACATACATTTCACTAAATTATCCCTCCCTCACCTTTTTCTTTTTAGCTTTTGTGGCATCTTAAATCCAGCTACATAGACAAGTATGCAGTTTTATTGGGAACGTTTTAGAAGTAATTTGCCTTCTTCATGAGGCTGAGAGAGAAGGATTGGCTCAGAATCACCAACTGGCTTTGCAGCTAAAGTGGAACTAGAATTCATGCTCTCCCAGTTTCTAGCCCGGAGCCTTATCCGCTATACCAAACTGGCTCCCTATTTTATCCCCTTGAAGTATGCTAAAGCTTCTTTTTCCATATGAATGTCAAGCCTGATTCTTTGATGCTCCATTTTCCAAACCTCAGAGTGTCAGATTATGCTGGAAACAAGCAGTGTCAACTTCCAAAATGTTGTTTGTTTATTTGTGCACTTATTCAGATTTGAGGCCACCTAACTCCATAGCAACTCTGGATGGTGTAGAGATTTAAAAAAAAAAAATCAAAGGAAAACAAAGTATGTTAAATAAAAAGTTTGATGCAAGTGAAAAAGGGTGGGACCAGTATGAATTTCTGGGAGGATACCTTTCAACAGGGTGGGTGCTTGGTGAGCATGGCTTGCTGGGTGTGGCAGGGGAAGGATACCACAAAATCTCTATTCCCATCCCACTCCAGGGGAAGGAATGCTGCAAAATTCCCATTCTCTCCCCACTCCTGGGGGAAGGATATTGCAAAATCTCCATTCCCACCCCACTCTGCAGCCAGCCAGAGGTGGCATTTGCCAGTTCTCCGAATTATTCAAAATTTCTGCTACCGGTTCTCCAGAACCTGTCAGAACCTGCTGGATTTCACCCCTGCCTGTGAGGCTAATTGGGCTGAGAAAGAGACAGACTGACTGTCCCAAAGTCATCCAGCTGGCTTTCCATGTCCAACGTGGCACTAGAACTCACGGTTCCTTGATTTCTAGCCCTGTGCCTTAACCAACATGGTTCTCCAGTTTGTTATAACTTGTCATAACTTATAACTTGTTATAACAACTTCAAGAAAAAAAATAAGAACTTTAGAAGAAGATCCTTAGGGAGAAAAGATCCAAGATCCTAGGCTTCCTTTTTTCAGAGCTTGAAAAAACAGCTTGAGCTCAAGATTTTTCATGTATCCCAAGATCAGGCTGTTTAAAATGACTTCCAGCTTGTCACTTGCAAATATATCTTTTAATTCATGAATGCTTCTCTATTTTGAAGGCATAATGAAGCCAATATTGAGTGTCCAGAGAACTGCAGTGATGGAAGGTGAAAATGTACTTTTACGCTGTGAAGTGCCAGAAGAAAAGCCACCTTTGTATTTCACATTTTATAAAACTGCACAGTCTGCAAATGGAGTTGTACATGAGAGGAAACGAGCATCGCAACATGAAAATTTTGTTGAGTTAGAATTTCCCATCGATGCCGGAGACAATATTTTATATTTTGAATGTGCTGTCCAGATGAATTCAATGGAAGGACCTCAAACTTCCAAGCGCAGTAACCGAACCATTGTCACCGTTACTGGTAAGTTAGTTAGCCTTTTACTTTCAAAACTAATAAGTAAAATTATGCTTTTTGATTTTGTTTAAAAAGTGCTGCAAACTGAGTTGTAGATTCCCATTATCCCAGATAAACACATTCTCTTTTTTTTTTTATAAAAGTTTTTTTTAATTTTTTTTGGACAAACACACATACAAACAATACAATGTATTTTCTTTGAACAGAGTATTTGGCCAGTTCATAAAGTTAAACTATGTTTAGTCATTTCAATTAAGTTTACAATTTCTATATTTCCTTTTTGCCATATGTATTCCTTATCTATTTTTTTTTAAAAAAACCAATATTACCCTTCCTTCTCACCTCTAATCTTAATCATAATCAAATTCAATTTTTCTCTTCTCTATATTATACCCCTTCCCATTGCCATCTATTTTTATATCTATCCTCACATTGGTTAGTTATGTAACATTTTAAATAGTTTTTAAACTGATTTTAAATTGTTAATTCGGACTTTTTAATTTTATACTGTATTAATGTTATTGTGTATTTTACTGTTGTGAGCCGCCCTGAGTCCATTGGAGATAGGGCGGCATATAAATCGCAATAAACTAAAACTAAACTAAACCAAACATTACAATTGTTTAATATAAATCCAACATTTTAGTATAAATCAGTTAATTATTAACTTTTTTTGGGTATATTAATCAGTATGAACATAAATCTTCCAATTATTTTCATGCAATCCAATTTCTTACAAGTCAATTAGTTATATTTACCAATAATAATAAACCAAATAATTTCCCCCCCTTATGTTACTCATTAAACTCTCCCAATAAACCAGATAGTTTTGCCTATATAATCCTCCAAATCACAACTTAATCATTTTTACTTTCATCACAATATACAATTAAAAATATTTCAATCATTACAATTTCCCTAATTAAATTTAACCATGTTCTAGCTGTTACTACTTTTCATATTTCAATTCTAAATATATATAACATCTTTCTCTTTCATTTCTTTTACTCCCTTCCCATTTTTATTTTTGCCTTTTTCTTTCTCCTTTTTTTCTTTTGTGTTTTAAAATCTTGAACTCTCCTCTTTTGCCCTAAATTTCTCCTTGTTTCCGATCTCTTTTCTCCTTTTCTTATATCCTCACTATTTATCCCACTGTTTATTCCAGTGTAATCATTCTGTATTTCACAAATCTGGACTCTTCTGTTTTGCCCTGCATTTCCTGTTGTTTTCCATCCTTTTCCTCTCTTTTTTTTCTTTTCACTGTTAATCCCAGTGTAATCATTTAAGTTTTTAATATTCTTTCTATGCCACCCTTCATTCCTTCTTTGTCTCTTTCTGCCCTTTCTATTTTTTCCATTGTTAATCCCAATGTAATCTCTAAAAACCTTTTTATTATTACTATTTACATATTCAATTATTTTTCCAAAATTAATCTCATTGTCTTTATCTTTTTTTTTATATTCAATCTCTGTGTCTTGCTTCTCTATCTTTGTTTCCTTGTTACCTTGAGCGTGCTCTATCTCAATTTTTGAATCCTCAGATTTCGATTCTCCATGTAACATTGTAATTATTCCTCTTATTTCTGCTTTCCATGACAAGTACATTATTTCCATCATTTCTCTAATTTCCTGTGCCATTTTGTTCTTTCTGTGTTTATATTGTTCCAGTTTTAAAAGTTCCGTTGTTTTCCTTTTTTTTCTAAAGTCAAGCCGCTTGCAGACAAAGCAATCTTCCCCAAAAGTTCTCACAATTATTATCACTGATGTAGTTCAAAATTTTCCAAAACAAAGATTCCAAATTGCAATGCTCTTTTTTCTCCTGAAGATGTCTCTCTACAATCCACAATTCTCTTAATTGTTTAACAAAGTGCCCATTTTGTATCAGTCCTCGTTCACAATCTAGCTTCTTTTTTCTTCTTTTCAACTTTGAAAATACCAAATAAATTTTATAGTCCAGTCCAAATTAAACAATACTTCCCCCCCTTTTTTTTCCTCCTTTATTTTTTCTTTAGGTATACAGCACTTCTATTGCAGGGCTTAATATCCAATTGTCTTTTATTTTTCTTAGCCTTCAAAAGGAAAGGATCTATTTATTTTCTTTCCAATCCTTTAGTCAATTTTGGGGTTACTTCTTCTAATTCTTAAAATTTTCCAGATAATTTTATTCAAAAGTCAATTTTCTTTTTGGGTTTTTGTCCCTTTAAATTCCGCTTGCTTCCTCTTTTTCTCCCCCATGTCAGTTAGTTGTTATTTTTAGGCTGGGGGCTTCAGGTTTAAAAATATATTTTTTTTTGTTATTTCACCTGTAGGTTGCCTGTCACTCACCCGGCTTCAAAAACTCTGTTGTATTCACCACTCCTGCTCAATACTTAGTTCGGTTGCCCCAGCTTCTTGACAGCCGCAATGGCTGCCACCTCCGCCGCCAAATCGGAGAGAGATTCCTCTGACCTTCAAGGAACTTGCCTGTTCCTCTTGGTCTTCCGAGGTGCCTCTCCTTCTTCCCCGTCCCTACAGGACGGTTCTGGTCCGAAGACCTCTCGGCAGCAGTTCGTCAGTCCAGGTTTTTGCGGACCTCATCAGAGCCCGCTAATTCCCCGACTGTCTCGCTGCGACACTTCCGGTCAAATCCCAGATAAATACATTCTCATGGTAAGCCCAACCAGCCTAAATATATTCTCTCCTACATTTTTTTTACACTTTAAGGAATCACTTAGTAATAGTTCTTTCTACATCTCATATGTCATGTTAACTTGGCTTTTAGGAGCCAACTCGAAAGTTAAATTGATGAAATATTCCTAAATGTCAAATCAATGAAATATCCTTAAATGTTTCTAAAAGTTAAATAAATGAAATACTCCTAAAATCAATGAAATATTCCTAAAAGGTCAGGAACACAGAAACATCACGGGGTAGATTAAACAGTATACAGAGCACACAGAAGAAAAAGGGGGGAAAGGGAAACTCCCCCTTTATACTTACAGCAACCAATCATAGCGTAGATTGCCTCATGCATGAGTCAGCACTCTCTAATTAATTACAACTGTGTGTTCTGGCCAGTGGTGAAATCCAATTTTTTTTACTATTGGTTCTGTGGGCGTGGCTTGGTGGGCATGTCAGGGGAACGATACTGCAAAATCTCCATTCCCGCCCCACTCAGGGGCTAGCCAGAGGTGGTATTTGCTGGTTTTCTGAACTACTCAAAATTTCTGCTACCGGTTCTCCGAACTGCTCAAAATTTCGCTACCGGTTCTCTAGAATCTGTCAGAACCTGCTGGATTTCACCCCTGGTTCTGGTCTATTGTACACTTTACTGTTCCACCTACTAAATTCAATATCCTAACATATTGATAAATAATTGCTATGACAGATGGATCTTTGAATCAACAAGGCGGTTTTCAAAATGTCAGAGATATTCCAAGCATTTTAGCTGACTCATGATTCAAAATACAAGAACTGCCGAAATCACTGGTTCTACATTATCCCTGATGCTGACAGTCGTATATTTTAAAATCAATTAAAGGTTTTTGTCAAATTCTTTCACTGTTCATAGAAGCATTTTGAACAGAACTAGATGTCGAAGTATCTAAGTCCTCAAAGATCATTACAGAAAATAAAATAACCATTAGTCTTGTGACATCTTAAAAGAGTTACCACTACATTTGTACAACTTTGTCAGATGTCTACTGTTTTGCCCTGAGAAAGTAATACTATATATGCATCTTTGTATCCTTCTGCAGTTGATGTTTTTCGCACGGATCAGCTGATTAATACATGCTAAGATAAGAACGTCACCATTTTTAACCCAGGGAAAATAAAGGACATTGCACATAACCACAGTTTTCATTCCAACAACTGTTTTCAACCATTGCCCAATTGTCCTCTTTTTTATTACTGATGTGAGGCTTGAAAGCATCCCATGAGCTCATGGGTTTGCCCTCAAGTTGACCAATGGGCAGAACTGAAAACCCCCCAATTGTTTCACCTTTTCCTTGTTTTTCTAGTGATTCCTAAGTTATGCGAGTGACTACTATTCCAGGGAGCTACTATGTTGCTCTTCAATTCCACTAAAAGAGCAGCAAAGGGGAGGGTGAGAATCAGCGTCTCCACTAGATAATTAAGAGTCAAACTGAAATTAAGTTAATCAACTAAAATTAGCAAACTTCCTCAAATAGAGCCTGGATAGCTCAACAGACAGAAGCACTGCAATTTAACACCAGCTGTCTGCAATTAAAGTAAGATCGAATCTCGCCAGGCTCAAGGTTGACTCAGCCTTCCATCCTTTCTAAGGTAGGTAAATTGAGGACCCAGTTTGTGGGGGCAATAAGCTGACTTTGTATAAATATACAAAAGTATGAAGGCTATTGCTTAACGCACTGTAAGCCGCCCTGAGTCTCCGGAGAAGGGCGGCATATAAATCAAATTAAAAAAAAAAAAAGTTACCTAGACCTAATCCACATATCAAAGGATAAGGTCTGCAAACACAATAGAGTTAATTAAATTGGGTCTCCCAGAGGAGCTCCATATTCACAAGAATAACTATACCTAGTACACACGCCCCTCAAGTGTCATCCTAGAATCAGCACATGACACCCAGACAAGCTCCCCCTATTTAAAAAATCTGCTGCTGTACCCCATTTCTCTGCAGCTTGCACTTAAATGCAAACTGTTTTTCTTTTAGGAATAAATATTTCTTCTTTCCTCACATCTGTCTGGATCTCATTTTTATTTATTCTTATGCAGCCCACAAGGTTCAGACTCATGTTTTTGCTTTAGCGGAGTAACGTAGTCACCTCTCTAGAACCTTTCCATATGCTGTTATTTTGTGTGGTTTTTTAAAATTATGATAGATTTGCTTCTTCTTCTTCTTCTTCTTTTTTTTTTTTGCAGAACCATTTTCTGTTCCTAAAATAGCCATCGACCCACCACAGAATATTACCGAAGGGGATAAGATCTGCATAACATGTTCAACTGTCCTACTTCGCCAGGATCAAACTGAAATTATCTTGCAGAAAAATAAAACAATTCTGAATAGCACGAAGGGCAGAGAGACCCTAACATATTGCAAGGTAGTCAAGATGGAAGACAATGGCAATTATATTTGCAAAGTAGAGCATGGAAGTGTATCTAAAATCGACAAAAAAGAACTTGTGGTGGCTGGTAAGAGATTTCTCCATCTTGCTTTAATAACTCACAGCCTGATCTTAGTCTATGTTTTCACAAATTATGGAATCTACTTTTTCAAGATATGAATTTATCGTATGGTTGAGTTCTAGTCAGAGCGGCCTCATGATGTCCTATGATGTCCTATGATGTCCTTCACACCTTGTGGAGCTGTATCAGGTGAACCTAGCAGAAAATAAGGAAGTATCTAAACACACCTGACTTCCCTTTCCTCAAGTTTTAAGTGCAGCAGGATTGGGCATTCATATACCACAGTTCTGGAAATAAACACAGAAGATGTTGCTTGGTTTTTAGGGAAGCTGTAGAATATGAAGACAATGTTGCCTTGCCTAAGAATAAGGAAGTTGAGTACTTCAACCTACCATGAATCTACCTGAAAACTTGGGAAGGGCACAGTAGACAATAACATTTATCAGGAGCACTTTTCAAACTCAGAAATAGCATTCAGGATGCTTTTGAGCCATCTCATGGAGTCTGTGGGCAAATATTAATGTAGTGCATACCCTTAGACCAGGGGTGAAATGCTCCCGGTTCGGACCGGCTCGGGTGAGTAGGTAGCGATGGTGGCGGGCAGTTTGGAGAACCGGTAGCAAAAATCCCTGCCTCCACCCCCCATGCCCAGCTGAGCTGCGTGATCATCAGAGCCCTTTTTTTCTTTAAAATGGCTCTGACGAGCCAAGCTCTGATGATCCCAGCTGAGTTGCCTGCTAATCAGGCAACTCAGCTTGGATCGCCAGAGCCATGTAAAAGAATTTTTTTTCCCCTTTTAAATGGCTCTGACAATCCAAGCTCTGCCGACCCCAGCTGAGTTGCCTGCTAATTGGTAGCAAAAATCCCTCCCCCTCCCCCCCTCAGCTTGCTTACCTTAGCTGCTGGTCGCAATGCCTTCCTGTAATCCCTGCAATCCATTGCATCAGCAAGGAACTGAATCTCCCTGCCTGCAATCAAGCAGGCGGGGAGTTGTGGACTTCAACTCCCAGAATTCCTCAGCCAGCAAAGCAAAGCTGGCTAAGGAATTCTGGGAGTTGAAGTCTACAAGTCTTAAAGTTGCCAAGGTTGGAGACCCCTGTTCTATTGGGTAAGTTTTTTTCCCCTTTGGGAGCTTTAAAAAAATAGTTAATTGGGGGTTTTTTTTAGTTGTTCTTTTTTTAGACCTAGCCATTTAAAGTTTAGGAAGTTTTAAATTTAGCTGCTTTTATATAAAAATAAAAATAAATTAAAATAAAATAATATTTGTGCAGCTTTCTGAGATTTAGTGTGTTTCTGTAGTGTTTCACTCTAACTACACAAACACACAAAATCTCACAAAGCTGCATGTGGAATTTTGTGTGTGTAAAGTGTGAAAATTGGTTTTTTGGGCTTTTTATGGCTGTGTGAGGTTCCTGGTTGTTGCAGGGGCCATTTTGGGTCTAGCACAGCTGCTTTTACACTGTGGGTGAGCCAATTGCGTTGTGTTGTGTTTTGTAGGTTAAAAAAGGGCAAAGAAGTGACATTGATTTGGCCACACCCACCTGACCAACAAGCCACACCCTCCCAGTCACCTTACCACCAAGCCACGCCCACTAATTAAGCCACGCCCACAGAACCGGTAGCAAAAATTGTTAGATTTCACCCCTGCCTTAGATTTGCTTCAGCTAAACACAGGGCCTTCCTTCTATGACAGGGTAGCATTACACTACAGATAGTCCTGGACTTACAACTTACAATTTGTTTAGGGATCCTTCGAAGTTACAACTGTGGAAAATAACAAAAGGTTGTTTTTGCATCGGACATAATTTAACATTTTAAAGAACATGTACTTAGAAAAATAATGTGCCTTAGAATAACAAGAGTGAGTAAAAGTTAGAAGAAGAGGAAATGTCTGCGGTCTTAGAAAGAAAAGCTAGCTGATAGAAACATGGCAGCTGATAGTTTAATCACAAGAGGTTACAGAGAAGCAAAGGGTAAAGAAACTAACTGCTTATTTCAGTTTCTTGTGCTGATGCAAATAGGTTCCAAGAAAGCAGGACCTGTGGGCTATTGGTGGGTGGAATTGTACACACTCCCTGCTAAAGCAAACAAGGGAAAAGGGGAACTACTGTAAGTAGAGGGTGATAGAGGCATTCTGGAATGGTTGTGAACCTTATGGCCCTTGTCAAATAGGGAAAACAAAGGAGGAACTTGCGCTTTGGGCTGAGGGAATGAAATGCTGCTGGAATCTATCTTTGGGTGTGCCTACTTTGCTAGCCACCCTCTCATGCAAGAACGTATTTTTCAATAAACTGCTTGCTGCTTCACTCAATGACTTTGTCAAATCTCTGAGTGGTGAGTCTGTTTCTCACACAACGGTAGCGAAAAAAGTGACTTATGACCAGTTTTCAAACTTCATCATTGTCACACCAGCATTCCCACGGTCACATAATCAAAATTTGGACTCTTGGCAAATGGCCATGTATTTATGATAGTAGGATTGTCCTACTATCATAATTGTCCTGGGGTTATGTGATCACCATTTGTAACCTTCCCAGCCAGTAATGGGTTTCAAATCCCGGCCCTACCGGTTCGCTATTGGTAGCGTGCGGGCGAGAGCGTTCTTGATGATGTCTGGGCGAGTGGGCAGAGCTGCCGCCGCCACCGCTGCCACCGGTTCACCCGAACCGGGGTGAACCAGGATCAACCCACCACTGTTCCCAACTGATTAGCCAAGTCAATGGAGGAAACCAGATTTGCTTAATGACTACGGGATCCAATTAACAACTGCATGATTCGCTTAACAACCATGGCAAAAAAGTTGAAAAATAGGGCAAAACTCCCTGAACAACTGCCTTGCTTAACAATGGAAATTTTGGGCTCACTTGTGGTCATATGTTGAGGACTACTTGTACTCTACTTTAAAAAGTGAATGAGTATTGTAATGCTTGTAGTTTAACGTATTTTAATATTTAAGTTTATATCTTTTTCAGTAATGTGCTATTATTTTTATGTTTCCATTGTACTGTGGATGTCTTTTTAGAAGAGTACATAAACATTAATCCAAATTTCCTGGAAGAAGCGAAAGCCACCTTCCAGTCATTTGGCAGCAAGCAAGTGAACAAACAAGTGCATTTAGCGTTCTTAGAGCAAAAGTGAATCATCCAGAGTTTCCTGACAGTGACAGGGAAAATTAGACCCAGAGAAAAACGCTGAAAGGGTGGCGTTGGGGCCAGTTTTGCCCATGCATGAAATTTAAACAATAATTATGTATGCTTTGTAAAAAGTGCCAGTTATCTCAGTTAAAAGGCAGTGATGCATTATAATGTAATAACATTTATATTTCCAGATTCCGAAAAACAAATCTGTTAAAATTCTGAACTTAAGCCAATAATAGAGAGACCTGCTATCTTTACCATGTCAAGGATTTGAAGCTTTGCCTGGGGGCTGCATGGCTACTTGAGTGATGCACAGAGAATACTGACATAAATAGGCCCTTTTACATAGCAGGAAACCCATGGACTCAATAGCTCCTTTCAATAGATTGTTGTTCCCCCATTATTTCTGCAAACTTGAGAATGGCAAATTTCTGTTGGGCAATAAAGCTTCTGTTTTGGCTATTAAAAACAGAAAAAGGCAGCTCGGTTTTGTAAGCTGCCCAGAATCACTGAATTGTGGCAGGTTGCACATTTCATAGATAAATGTGCAGTTTGCGCCTGGGGTCCTAAGACCAGTACATGCATTATGTACTGATAAGGAAGGGGCTTTGTACATTGAAATTATTATAGTTAACCTGTTCCTCCTCTCTTTCATCTCTACAATCACCATACAATTTCCTCCTCACTATAATTTCAATGCTGATGATGATGTTATGCATTCAGTCATGTCCGATTCTTGGCGATTCTATGGGCCACGTCTCTCCACGTCTTCTGATCTTGCACAACTTCTTTGGGTTGTTCTGTGCTCTGGCTGGTGTCAACTTTGATGGTGATAATTCCAGTGCTATTAACTTAACTGGTTGACAGGGGGAAAAAAATCTGTGTTTGGAACCATTATTCAAGAATTTTGAGCATATGCTCCCACTAATTATTTTAATGATTTTTTGTTTGTTTGTTCTGAAAGGGGGGTTCACACTCTGTAAAATTAACATTTGGTGACATACCTTAGTGTGTATCTAGTCCCTGAAAATGGTAGGTATCTTTACTGGATTGCAACTCATGCAAGCACGCATGAGTGTCTCTGGATTTGGGGGTGAAGCTAGTTCTGGAGTTGTGCCATTGATAACTCTAGAAGGGCTAGTAATTCCCCCAGGCAAAGTTGGTGTACAATCTGGGGATCCTCCTGTACTAATGAGTTCTAATCAAGGAATAGTTGGTAGCTATGCCTAAAGGTAGAAAGATAAAGGTTTCCCTGCCCAGTTATGTCTGACTCTAGGGAGCAGTGCTCATCTCTATTTCTTAGCCAAGGGAACCAATGTTGTCTGAAGACATTTCCCATGTTCATGTGGCCAGCAAGGCTATATGCCAAAGGTGCATGGAATGGTACTACTGTCCCACTGTCCCACTGAAGTGGTACTTAATAATCTACTCGCATTTGCATGCTTTTGAACTGCTAGGTGGACAGGACATTTGCACAAATCCATCTTATGTACCAGTTGTGCCTTTTCTTGGATGTGCTGGTAGTCTTTCATGCTTTAGTCACTTCCAGATTGAATTACTGCAACACCTTGTCTTGAAAAGCATTTGAACCATTCAACTGGTCAAGGAAACAATTGGCATGCATAGTATTGAGTACACCTCAAGCTTGATTTGTCCACAACACAAATCAAGCTTTGATTTGACACACTGTAGGTGTCAACGCATATCTACACGATGAAGAGATTGATGAATAAATGTAGGTTGCAGATAGTTGCAGGCAGGTTGACGTGCATACCTCCCAAATCTCAACTATGTATTGTGTGGAGCTGTGTGTCCTGCATGCTGATTGGTTGATTCCTGTTGGGAGGCAGGTGGAAAGCCAGTCACATTGTTGTTTGAGCACCCACTAGCCAACAAATTAACATTTACAGGAGTATAATGCAATAGCTATGCCACTGTTTCCAAATAACAGACGCATATGTTCTCTGACAGTATTGATGCAGGAGTCTAAATCACGTCTATGCAACTCCACTGGGTGTAAGATGCCGGCTATAATTTTTAAGGTCACATATAGCAGCGGTCACCAACTGGTGGTCTGTGGACCACTGGTGGTCTGCGAGAAAATTTTGGTGGTCCGCAGAAAAATTATTTGCATTTTTTATATTTCACTAAATCAGGGGTCCTTAAACTATGGCCCCTGGGCCGGATATGTGCAATGAATATTTGTGTTGCTGCAGAGAGTCTCCCCCTTCGGGGTCTTTTTGTGTGGGTAAGAGGGGGACAGAAATTCCAATTTGGGGTCTGCTTCAGCCTCCTGGTGTGGGGCTTTGGGCGAAGGCTGGAGGGAAGCGCCGCTGGTGGCAAAGAGCCGGAGGGCCTTGTTCCAGTGGGACTTATCATGGCCTGGAACTGTCTGACCATCTCAGCCCGCTGAGCCTCCAGGCACCGGTACCTGGCCTTGCACTCCTGCAGGTCTTCTCTCTGCTTGGAAAACCTATGCTTTTAGTCCCCAGTGAGGTGCTTCTACTGAGCCTCCTTCTCAGTCAGATCCAATTTGAAGAGTTGCCAACTCTTTCTTGTGGTGGCTGCTTAGCTCCAACAACTGCTTCCTGTTGGGGCCCTAAGGAGCCCGGGTAGGGAAGCGTGGAGTGGCTGGTAGGGGAGGGGTGAGTAGAGGCTGGCGAAGTGCCCCTCAACATGAGTGACATTGAATTGGCCACACCCACTCAGTCACATGACCACCTAGCCACGCCCACCCAGCCGGTCATTAGGCAGATCATATTAGTGGTTCGCAGGATTTAAAATTATGAAGTTAGTGGTCCCTGAGGTCCGAAAGTTTGGTGACCCCTGATATATAGTACAGGGCGAGAACTGCCTCACCCGAGTCATTTCTGCCTGTCCCGTCAGGGTACATATACTTCAGGTCTCCTCACTGATATAGAGCCATTTTGCAGGAGCCTAGGAATCACACAGTCTCTGTGACAGTGCCTGTCTTAAGAAACAGTATTTCCCACCCCTGCCCCAGATCTAAATGGTTCTGACCCTCTTGGCCTTTCAGAAGTTTATGAAAACCTGGTTACCCCTCCATCATGAGAACCAGGTTGTTAGCAGAGGCCAGTATCCATGCTTTTGAGACTGTATTTGTGAAGTGCTTTGACTACTGCTTTATACTGGTTATTTGCTTAAGATGGTGTTGGGAATGAATTCAACCAACAAGCATGGGTCGATGAAAACAAAGAGACTTTATTAAAAGAAAATAATAAAAACAATTTTGCAAAATGGGGTGGTATCCCAGCAGATCTCAACAAGGAGTTTGAGCCAGGAAGCCATACCTAAAATTTCAAAAGCATTACATTTTATAGTTCCCTATCCCGACGCCCCCCCCATGCCCCTCCTACATCGCATCCAGTGATCGATCACGGCTAATCTGAAGCGCCGTTTAGAGAGAACATCATCTCTTTCTCTAATTACATGTTCATCAACACCTCCCTATAACTACCCATCAAATATTTTGCAAGCATGGCTCTTTCTTATCCCTATTGCCTTGGCATTAAAGAGTGGGCCTCTTTCTAACGGGCCTCAAACAAAAGAAGATCTATTCTAACACAACATTGTTACATATTGGTATGCTTTCAGCATGTTCTCCAACTATCTTAAAGCAGAATAATGTCTAACAAATTTAACAGAGTAGCAGAGCTGGAAGGGAGCTGCAGGTCATCCAGTCCAACCCCCTGCCTGAGCAAAATTGAATCTTCACTTATATGCATTTCTAACGTATATACCTACATACTATTTTATTTTTGAATTTTCTCATATCCTACAATGGGTAACTGTATACATTTTCTAAATGTATATTACGGGACCGCCTACTACCACCAATAGCCTCCCACCGGCCAGTACGCTCTCATAGAGAGGGACTCCTCCGGGTGCCGTCAGCCAAACAGTGTCGGCTGGCGGCCCCTAGGGGGAGAGCCTTCTCTGTGGGGGCACCTACCGTCTGGAATGAGCTCCCCCCAGAGATACGGAGGATCCCAGATCTGCACATCTTCCGCTGCGCTGTGAAGACCTTTTTATTCCATCAAGCGGGTTTGGCCTAATCTCCTCCCTCTTTTAATATGTAAATTTTAATCTGTTTTTAAATTATTGGGGTGTTTTAATCTGTCCGGGCCAAAATGATTTAATTTGATTTTATCTGGTTTTTAAATTTTGTGTATTTATGTATTTTATTGCTTGGCTGTTCACCGCCCTGAGTCCTTCGGGAGTAGGGCGGTATACAAATCAAATAAACTAAACTAAACTAAACTAAATAAACAAATACCTTCAGGCTCCCCTTTCCTTTCCAGATCAGTAATTTATGTTCTCTCATTATTTTACAGAACTGTTTTCCAAACCGATGTTAGTGGTTAATAAAACAAAGTGGGATGAAAACAGCATTGTACAAATTCAGTGTCAAGTGAACAGTTCAATGCCGATCAGTCTCTCGCTCATAAAGGACAACAAAATATTGGTAAACTCCAGCAATTACAGGGCTAAATTCCGTGTATCTGACAGTGGAGTTTATATGTGTAGAGCAGAGATAAACAACATTTCCAAGGAAAGCGACCCAGTGTTTATCTACGTTTATGGTAGGTTGATTTAAAGATGTGAATCCCTCTGTTTTTCCTTTTGCCTTCTCTAGCCTGGAGCTCTTCTAGATACCAATAAAGGAGAATATTTGTAGCTCAGGGTTGAAATGAGGGTTCTTTGGTGCTCTCTGAGCTTGCTTGTTTTCTTTTCTTTTTCTTTTTTGTTTCAAGTTCTTTATTTTGTTTTACATATATGTATCAATGCGTGAACAGTGTGCCATCTGGGTGTCATACATTCTAATACAAATAAAACTAGTAGAATTAATCATAATTATTACATTCAATTATTTCTAATAATAATAATACACATTTATATTAAGTTATCGTCTATCATTATTTAATTATTTCATGTTTTCTCTTGCTATTGCTTTTGTTTTATTATGTAAAAGTGTATACACTAATATTCCCCCTTTCTCTTATTTCTATCTCTTATTCTAACTTTTAATCATTTTTAAATGTTTCAATATCATGATGTTGCCTAGTTTGGGTAATGAAACGTCTGCAAGAAAATAAGCAAGCTCAGAGAGCACCAAGGACTCGTCTTTTGATATGCTGAGAGTTGGGACAACTAATCTTGGAAATTTTAGCTGGCATGTCTAATGCGTTTGGAAAAGCCAAGATTAAGGAAGGCTTTCTTATCTGATAAATTGGAAATATTTATATGCTGAATGCAAGCCTTTCTGCAACTTTATGGTACAGGTAATCCTCAATTTATGATCAGTTGCTTAGCGACTGTTCAAAGTTATGATGAACCCTCAAAAGCTATTTAGGACCTGGTTCCGAAGCTCCAACAGCTGCCCCGCCAGCAGTCACATGACCTCTTTTGACCCATTCTTCAACTACCCCACATTTACAGTTGTTTGCGGTGCACCATGGTCACGTGCCCAAGCTTTACAACTATGTGCAGTTACTCATGCTTCATTAAATGAATCGGTTCATCTGTGTCCTGTGGTAGTGAATTTTTGTCATGTGCCACCTTCATAAATAATACAGTAATCGACTTTTTGGCCACAATTGAGCCCAAAATGTCTGTTGTGAAGTGAGACATTTGTTGAATGAATTTTTCCCCATGTTACGACCTTCCTTGCCACAGTTGTTGAGTGAATCACTGCAGTTGATCAGCTTGTAACTCGGTTGTTAAAGTGAATTGGACTTCCCCGTTGATTTTGCTTGTCAGAAGGACACAAAAAGTGATCACATGATGCCGGGATGCTGCAATGGTCATAAGTTGCCAAGCATCTGAATTTTGATCACATGATCACTGCAAATGTCGTACACTCTGAAAAACAATCATAAGTTACTTTTTTCAGTGCCGTTGTAACTTTGAATGGTCATTAAATGAACTGTTGCAAGTTGAGGACTACCTGTATTTCTGGACAAGTACAGACTGCCTTTCCTCTCACCATTGTGTCTGGCTTTCTTTCTGCACTTTCATTTCCCATTTTAGGAACTAATTGCCTTATAATGAAAGAGTTAAGCTTATTTTATTATTTCAACTGCCACTAATCTCCCAATGTGTGATATAGGCAGCAAATAAATTTAGTTAGTTAGTTAGTTAATTAATTAATTAATAATACTCTGTTTCTTTCCAGCTCCAGTTTCTCTGCCTGTCCTTTCTCAACCATTTTCCCATGTAGCTGTACTGAAGAAGTTCTTTGTCTTACAATGCTACTCGAAGTTTGGGACTTTGCCTATCACATACACCCTTTACAGAGGGAATACATATATCAGCCAGATTAAGACAAAAGAAAACAAATCAGTAAATTTTACGGTCAAAGCCTCTAGCATCCATGAGTCTGGACAATACAGCTGCCATGCTAAGAACGGCCATTCTTTTTCTCAACAAAGCAAAGGGCTAAATGTCACAATAATAGGTAACTATTTGGTATGGTTTTTTTGGGGGGGGGGAAAGGTTGGCGAGAATTGTCTGAATTTGAATATATCTGGAGGCTGCTAGGTTGGGAAATCTGATCTGTGGAAATTACTGATTTCCTAAGGTTCCTTTCAAAAATCTTAGCATTCTTACTTTGCTTTTTTTTAAAAAAAGATCCTAATATAGACAGGAATTCTTTGCCTTTGCATGCTGTCTGGAAATGGATTCCGTTAGAGATGACACAGCTTCATGTTTACCTACAGCAGGGGTGTCAAACTTGCAATGACACGTTGTCGTCACATGACGTATCACAACTTTTTTCCGCTTCACTGAACCAGGGGTGGGCATGGCCAGTGTGTGACGCATCCAGCCCACAGCCCTGACCTACAGCAACTCCATTTATTTTTACACATAAACCCAATTCCCAGCCAGTTTAGTCTAGTGGTGAAAGCACCAGAGTATCCCACTTTAGGCATGAAAGCCATCTGGGTGATTTTGGGCCAATCCCTTTCTCTTAGCCCAAGCTACCTCACAGGGGTTGTTGTTGTGGGGAAAATAGGAGGAGGAAAGTATGTTGGATATATTCGCTGCTTGAGTTGTTTGTACAAATTATAAAAGCAGGAAAACAAACAAATAAAAAACAAAACACAGTTGGGAAGGATTGGGACCTTTGTTAACCCAGTTTAATCTGCTGCTGACTTTTGCCCATGTACTTTCATCCACAGCTCCAGTTGTTAACATAACTTTTGAAAGGAAACCACAGGAGAACATAGAAGATGGCAGCGAACTCGTATTTTTCTGCTCGGTTGACTCAGGATCCTTCCCTATTGAGTTCCACTTTTTTAAAGAAAATGATGGCAAATCCTTATATCAGGTCATAGAAAAGGAAAAACTGTCAGTTTTTTGGGAAAAGAGACGCTTCACAAGCCAGGATGAAGGGAGTTACTTCTGCAGAGCTGACAACCAAGCAAAATCTTTTGTGGAAAGCCAAAAGATCCTAGTCAAGGGTATGTCCTGCTCCTGAGCACAGAAGACAAAGTCTATCAGCCCTGCCTTCTGTTGTTCATCACTGAACACGCGTTGTGTCATCATGATACAAGGTGTAGATATTGCACTTGATGAGGTTAAATTTCACTACATAATACCTCCAAGAAGTGCTAAGAACCGCTTGGTTAGTACAAGGGTACAAAAGAAAGAATTAAAGTGTGTATTGTGCACCACAAGAGGATAAGAGACATTTTTTCTGCATTTCTGAAAACATTTTCTTAGAACAATCTCTCAGATTCTGTTCTGTACAGGTGGTCGTTGATTTACCACAGTTCATTTTAGTGACTGTTCAAAGTTACAACAGCACTGAAAAAAGTGATTTGTGACTGTTTTTCACAGTTACGACCATTGCAGCATCCCCATGATCATGTGATCAAAATTCAGATGCTTGACAACTGGTTCATATTTATGACCATTGGTTGTGTCCCAAAGATCATGTGATCCCCTTTTGTGACCTTCTGACAAGCAGAGTCAATGAGAAAGCCAGATTCACTTAACAACCAGGCTAACTTATCAGCTGCAGTGATTCACTGAACAACTTTGGCAAGAAAGGTCATAAAATGAGGCAAACCCCACTTAACAAATGTCTCACTTAACAACAGAAAGTTTGGGCTCAATTGTGGACATAAATTGAGGATTACATGTAAAATATTGCAAATGCCAGGATGAAACTTAGATAGGATCTGACAGGAAACATGAATTATCCCAGATTTCAAACGAATGCACGGGTACAAGCACAACTGAGCCCAAAATTTCCATTGCCAAGCAATTGAGTTTTGAATCATTTTGCGGCCATTTTTGCCAGATGTTAAATGCATCACTGCAGTTATTAAGTGAATCACATGGTTGTTAAGTGAATCTGGCTCACCCCTCTCCCCCATTGACTTTGCTTGTCGGATGACGACCAGGAAGGTTGCAAAAGCTGGTCACATGATCTCGGGATAGTGCAATTGTCATAAATATGTTCCAGTTGCCAAGAGTTTGAATTTTAATCACATGACCATGAGGATGCTGCAAAGGTCCTAAGTGTGAAAAATGGTCGTAAATCACATTTTTCAGTATCGCCACTTCGAATGGCCACTAAGTGGATGGTTGTAAGTCAAGGACTACCTGTAATAGCTCATCAGTGACGTAGATATGGGACAAGTGATGGAACCACATGTACCTCAGTGTTGCCACATAAACACTGTCCTCTATAGACAAAAAGGGGAGAATTTGCATCCTGATGCACATTTTCTCACTTTGATGTTAGAAGCTGATGCCTGTGTACATGAGTACAAAAATGTGTACATCTAGGAATGTAATGTGCCAATGGAAAGAAGTTCGTGTTCTTTCATACCAAGCAAAAGTGCAAAGAGAATTCCATTATATCTAGCCTTTATTCTGTGGCCTTTCCTCTATATTTTGTCAAATTCTATTAGAGCAGGGGTGTCAAACTCAAGGGTGCTTAGATCTGGCCCATGAGGCCGCCCTGGAAACAACGAAGGATCAGCCCATGGTGCCTCTGCCAGTGAAAACAGAGCTCGAGAGGGCTGCGCACGGCCCGCCCAGGATCCATTTTCAGCCGTGACAGCCTCCTGCAGCTCTCTGCTAGTGAAAATGGAGAGCCCCCCCCCTCCCGAGCTCCGTTTTTACTGGCAGAGAGCTGCAGGAGGCTTTCGTGGCCAAAAACAGAGCCTCGACGAGTGACGTTGAGATGGCCACACCTTCCCTGGCCATGTCCACCCCAGCCCCCCAAAGTCAAGTACAACCCTGATGCCCTCAATGAAATTGAGTTTGACACCCTTGTGTTAAAGTAAAATTGCATAGCAAGATCTGCCTGTACAACTCCAAGTGCAAGCAAAGGGTTGATACAGGTAGACCTCAGAATAATAGAATAACAGAGGTGGAAGGGACCTTGAAGGTCTTCTAGTTTTTTAGTTTTTTTTAGTTTTTGCTTTAATTTATATGCCACCCTTCTCCAGAGACTCAGGGTGGCTTACAATGCGTTAAGCAATAGCCTTCATACTTTTGTATATTTATTGCCCCCACAATCTGAGTCCTCATTTTACCTACCTTTGAAAGGATGGAAGGCTGAGTCAACCTTGAGCCTGGTGAGATTTGAACTTGCAGTAATTGCAAGCAGCAGTTGTTAATAACAGTGCTTTAGTCCACTGTACTACAGGTTCCTCAGTCCATTGTACTACAGGCTCCTCTAGTCCAACTTCTAGTCCCTGCTCAGGCAGGAGACTCTACACCATTTCAGACAACTGGTTGACCAATCTCTTCTTAAAAACCTACAGTGCTAGAGCACCCAAAACTCCTGGAGGCAATTCGTTCTGCTGATTAATTTTTCTAACTGTCAAACTGTCCTCAACTTACAACAGTTCATTTAGTGACTGTTTAAATGTACAAAGGTACTGAAAAAAGTGACTTATGACTGTTTTTCACACTTATGACCATTGCAGCCTCCCTATGGTCATGTGGTCAAAATTCAGACGCTTGGCAACTGACTCATATTTATGACCGGTGCAGTGTCCTAGGGTCATGTGATCACCTTTTGAGAACTTCTGACAAACAAAGTGAATTGAGGAAGCCAAATTCACTTAACGACTGGGTTACTAACTTAAGAACTGCAATGATTCACTTAACAACTGTGGCAAGAAAGGTTATAAAATGGAGCAAAACTCACTTAATACATGTCTCACTTAGCAACAAAAATTTTGGGCTCAATTGTAGTCATAAATTGAACACTACCTGTAACATTTCCCCCCTCTAGATATTCCTCTATTGGAAACCCCAGGGATCTTCCTCCTTTTAACATAGCTGGAGAGGATTGTGGTTCAGTAGCACCATTTCTGGTCACCTTGTTTTGAAGGAGAGGACTATGGAAACCATGAAAGGAGGGGGGTAGAGGGCCAACCTTTTTCTACCCCTACTTTATGGTTTACCTTTGTGCACAAGGTTAGCAGAACAGTTAAAGTAAACTCTAACTTAGTGCCATAACTGACCCAGACACAGTGAAGAGTTGACACGGTAAGAAGAGATTCTTATGATATTATATGCCTGAATTGTGACCTATTTTTCTCTTAATTTTTAGTTGTCATGGCTTCATGGAAGAAAGGACTTATTGTAACCACAATCCTCCTGATTTTTCTTGCTGCTATAATTACAATCATTTGGTTGAATTGTCGTTTGAAAGCAAAGGGTAAAACCTATCTTAAAAATCTTTAGTTCTTACTTGATTAGTGAATAGTACAGAAATCTTCTTCTGAACCTTTTTGGTTATTAGAATTCATGCTGCATTTCCCTTATTAACCTCAACAAAAGGAATAAAAGAAGACCACTTCCACCGACTTTAATTAATATTCTTTCTTTCTCCAAACTAAGTTTGTGCTTCGTTTGTCCTGCAGTAATGCAGTTTTGTAGAAACTGCCTATTTAAAACTATGTGATTAAGGGGATTTTTGATTGTCAGTGGAAAGGATATGTATGTTGCTGTTTGTAAAACTAATTTCTAATAATTGGTTCCTTACTGGTTATAGAGAATTTTTTTGTTTTGATCCTCTAGCATATTTTTACAAATGTTGTCTTGTAAGATTTTTTCATACCTGTCTCATTTACCATTTTACATGGCCCTACTTTACAAACTCTATTGTATTTTTTGATAGCTACGATGACAAATTATTCCTTAAGAAATTAGAAAAAACTAACATGGGTTTAAACTGAGAACCATATGCTTCCAGAGTTCTTTGTGGAGTGTTAGAGTAATAGTAACAATATGGGAAGTACTTTTCCTCCATGTTCATTTGTTTATACAACTGCCTTTCTGTTTATGTACTGCAACATAGTAATTTATTGTTTTTTCCCCCCCTTATCAAGCAGAAAACATTTCTACGGAGTTAGCTGTGTAAGTTGGAATTCAAATTGTTATTGATGATATATGTATATCAATGATGAGGAGGAGGAGGAAGAGGAGGGGTGGGAGGAGGATATCATCCATTCAGTCGTGTCAGATTTTTGGCAATTCTATGGGCCAGTAGTGCCATCTTGCACTACTTCTTTGAGTTTTTCTGTGCTTCTGGTGTCAGCTTTGATAGTGTCCAGCAATTGTGTTCTTTGGCGGCCTGGTTTCCTTTTACCGCTAACTCTTCCAAACCTAATTGCTTTCTGCACATATATCTACAGGTAGCAATAAATAAATTCCTAATGCTGTTCTGTAGGAACGCTCTCATTGATCTGCCCAAATGGATGCAACAAATAATTTAATTGATTAGTTAAATTATATGAATGTTTTGAGAGCATTAGGAAAGTTTCTACTATGGAAGAGTGGGAGAAGTAGAAATATAGAATTAAGAATATTTGATAAAAAAAGGAAAAACAGAGTCAGACATTTTCCCAATTAATTGTATAGGTATTCCTCCCCAGGAAAAAGGTGAAGAGGTGAGGAATATCACAGACGGCTAGAAAAGTATGAGGAAGAAACCTCAATAATTGCCTTCTGCTAAATGGGTTTTTGTGAGGGGGCATGTCAGCCATTTTGTGGAAGAGCCTATAACATGATTGTAATACTCCCGAATAGATTCACTAGTTCAGAAAGGTTGCTTATATGGCAGGGATCCCCAAGTCCCAGGCTGTGGACCAGTACTGGTCCACGGCCTGTTGGGAACTGGGCTGCAGAAGCAGTGAACATGCGCATGAAGCTTCCACTGCCACTGATGTCTTTGCTGCCGGTCCATGGAGCCAGAAAGGTTGGGGACGGCTGCTCTATGGCATCAGAAGGGTACACAACTATATTTCTGAGACCTTGGATAATCCTGTATGTAATTTGTAATGCAAGTGCCTCTTTATTTCCCTTGTTCTCTTTCATTTTAGATCCAAAAGAGCAACCAATTCAGTGGATGGGAAACTGACAACAGGACATAATAATGAAGGAGAATTCTATTATGGTAAGATTATTTACTTTCTTAATGCCCGTTATAGATTTCGGCACATCTTCACAGAAGCTATGAAATGCTGTCATCCATTGTGGAAATTGGCCTTTCTAACGTAATCTGCCCTGGCGACAAAGCAGAATAGCGATTTGGTCTGCACCAGAGAACATCTCCTTTCATGCCAGCTCCTGGTAGAAGACCTGCAGGACTTCTGTGGTTAGGCTTCCTGTCCTATGAGTGATCAAGCAAAGTGGGGAAAGAGGAACAGACTCAAGAGAACTGGCATCATAGCTGCTCTTCTCCCCCACATTTTTCTGGAAGTAGCACCCTTTTAGTAAAACTGCCCATGGTTTTACCAAATAATTTGCTTCCATTTCGTCTCATGCTAGCCATGGGTTGATAGAAAAATGAGAGCAATAGCATTTTGGCACAGAGAACTGTGACACTTCTGCGGCCCTGAAAATCATTGGCCAAGGACCAGAAAGGGGGACATGCCCACAGCAGCCACCACTGGTGGCTATCACCCCAGGGCTTGGTCCACTTTAGATTGACCAGATACCACAGCTTGTGCTGGAAGAAGCTGATAAACACAACTGGAGCAGATGAACTCTCTTTCTTGGTATTCAATGTTGAAAATGTTGTTGGTGCCTCTCCTCTAAATTCACTTGGCGGGTCCTCCCCAATCTGCAATTAGCAGATCCTGCGGGAGAATCCTTTCTTTTGTAATGGCAACGTAATGGCAACATTGCCAAGATGACAATGACAATGATAATAGTCCAGTCTAGGCCTAAGATCATTAACCCCTTTGGCTCAGTGTAATAGTTGTGTTAACGTAACCAAACATGGGACAGTGATGGGGAATTACTGATGGATGTATTTTTTTCAGGGGTAATTCCTTAGAAACTAATTGATAGTTATAGCTGAAAATAAAGAATGAGAATGATCAGAATCTGAAATGGGTAAAAACACTCATTCTCTCCCTGATGCGCCTTTTTGTTTTTCTATCTTCATTTTTGCCATTTAGGTTCAGGGTATAATGAAGATGGTGAAAAAAATCACATCAGTGCAAAAGAGGATAATAGAGGTAATATCTTTGGGTTTCCACATCAAATTTTAACTTTTTAGCCTAGTGTCTTTTTCTGCTTGTATTCACCTATGGGATACAACCCTTGGCAACAGGTTGTTGTTTGTTTGTTTGTTTTTTGATGTTACCTTTATTTTACACTCAGCCCATGCACAGTACATTCTTGAATTGCCTTTAGCTGTAATTTTGCTAAAGCCACACTTCCTTCCTTAAGCCAAGGCCACCTAGAGCAGTTTAGAGATGTGTAAAATGAGCCAAGCCTGGCTAACCATCCTTTTGCAGTGCGGTCAGGTAAAATAAACTAAACATTAAGGGGGAAATCATCCTAGAGGAAGTCTTTCTTTGTGGTCACCAGAATTGACACCAGCTTAATAGCATATAAATTCAGAATAACAGAGTTGGAAGGGACCTTGGAGGTCTTCTAGTCCAACCCCCTCTCAAACAGGAGACTCTATACTGGGGTGTCATATTCGATTACATTGAGGGCCACACCAGAGTGGTGTTTGATCGGGGGGGCGTGGCTGTGGCCAGAGTGGGTGTGGCCAGCTTGACATCACTCATGTCAGGGACACCTGTGGCGGCCTGCGTGCTCTGCCAGCAAAAACGGGCTCCCAAGCTCCGTTTTCAGTTGCGATGGCCTCCTGAAACCCTCGGCCAGGGAAACAGAGCTCGGGAGGGTCACACACAGCCATTTTCTCTGGAAGAGGCACTGCTGGCTGGTCCTTCACTGTTTCTAGGGTGGCCCTGCAAGCCAGATCTAAGGACTCCGAGGGCCGGATTCAGCCTGTGGGCCTTGAGTTTGACACCCCTGCTGTATACCATTTCAGACAAGTGGTTGTCCTGTCTCTTCTTAAAAAATTCCAGTGTTGGAGCACCCACAACTTCTGAAGGCAACCCATTCCACTGATTAATTGTTCTACCTGTCATGAAATTTCTCCTTAGTTCTAGGGTTGCTTCTCTCCTTGATTAGTTTCCATCCATTGTTTTTTGTCCTGCCTTCTGGTGCTTTGGAAAACAGGTTAACCCTCTCTCCCTTGTGGCAGCCACTCAAATACTGGAACACTGCTATCATGTCTCCTCTAGTTCTTCTTTTCACTAAATTAGACATACCCAATTCCTGCAACTGTTCTTCCTATATTTTAGCTTTCAGCCCCCTAACCATCTTTGTTGCTCTTTTCTGCACTCTTTCTAGAGTCTCAATATCTTTTTAATATTGTGGTGACCAAAACTGGATGCAGTATTCCAAATGTGGTCTTACTATGGCTTTATAAAGTGGTACTAATACTTCCCATGTTCTTGATTCTATCCCTCTGTTAACGCAACCTATAATCAGTCCATCAATTAATAATTTATAATCATTATAATATAGTCAATAAAGCCTATAATCAGGCAGGCAATTAATCAAGGGGAAAAAGAAAGATTTACAGGATTGAAATGAAGAAATAAAGGATAAAACTAGGGGAAAAAAGATATGTATGATATAAATACAAAATAAGCATTTAGATCACCCCCTTAATCATTGTAATGTAGGTAGGTTTTTCCTGCATTATTACTATATTAATATTTTTGATGTGTTGGTTTGTTGGTTAGTTATATTTCTCCAAAAAAAAATATACAAAAGGAAGTGAACACACAAAGGTTGTGCTGATATGTTTTTTTCTTTCTTTCCATCAACCCATGGCTTAATGTGTTGCATGAAAACACCGTATCTTACTCTACTGGTTTATACATCATACCAAGCCATAAGGTGTTTGCTGGAGGAAAATGCACATATTTAGTCATTTAAACAAATGCCAGCATTGTTTTTATAAAGTCAGTGGGAATAAGATCAACTTGAACCAAAGGCAGGCATTAATGTGCAACTTCTCAGTTGTTTTGGAGTGCAACAGAAACAAAAGTTTTCTTACTCTGCTTGTGGCAGGATCTGACATTGAGGATCCTGAAGTGGAATATACAGAAGTACAAGTATCGGTGCCTGACCCTTACCGAGGTAAGGAGGACGTCTTGGGACATAGTGTGTCCAGAACAGCTGTGAGATTGATGGGTAGTTCCTGGAATCATTTTTTTTCAGAAGCAGCAACAATTAGGTCTGGATAAACAGGAAGAAATACAGCCCCTGCTTCAAGAGCCAGCAGCTCTCTTCCTTCTAGCTTGTTTATTAATTAACAAACTGGCCTTTTATCCTATTCATTGTGACAAGATGGGCCACCTGCACTGAATCGTTAGCCTGAAAAAGCTATCAAAGTTCAGTTCTGCCTTCAGCTTTCTGAAGAGCAGATTAAATCAAACCTTGAACAAATGAATCCTTTTAATTTCCTGCTCTTTCCTTCCAATGGCTGCCTCACAATTGGGTCTGAAAACTTCCTTTTTCTTCCAGAGCAGAGGGGTTTTGAGGGGAGGAGGGAAAAGAAATCAGACTATGGGGCACCAGCATGAGAAACAACTTCATAATTTTTCTCTTGATGCAAACAAATCCGTTTTAGGTTGACTTCAGAAAACTAGTTGTATAAAAATTACCTCACCAGAAGATGACTATGGGCAACTGAGGCTTGAATATGTCTCCCCAGCCTGGTGCCCCTTAGGGATTCAACATTCTAGCCATCAAGGCTGCCTAGTATGTCTGTGGATCACTTCACTATATCGATCTTCCAGGGCTTGAGTTCTGCTCATCTATGGCATGATGTCTGTCTATGGAATTATTTCCCCCTATTGGCTAGCTTAGAGAGCAATACATATCCCCAGTTCATGCAAAACTATCCTTCAGGGCCTATATCTCCTGTCCTCCTGAAGCCTTTATTGGAGTATTTGCATCCTGCCATTCGTTCAATCACGGAGGCTCCAAAAGGCTTGTGTGATGTCCCCCAGTAGACAAACAAATGGATTGGTTTGAGCGGGAACATACCCCATGCCCTGGCAAATGGGGAGTAGTGTAAGGGTGCAAAGGACCAATTTATTTGGAGCAAAAATGCCCCACCCCAATTAGTCAACCAAATGCCTTGGCATTTCTCTCAGCAGATTTGAAGACACATCTGGTAATGCCTTGAATCCAGAGTCTTAGGTATTAGCAACCTAGGAAAGATTGTGATTAGTTCATGTTAGTTTTGTGAGTGCTTGTATATGTATGAAATTAGAAAGCAGGCCACACCTTAACGGAGCTTTTAGGGCCTCATAAGCAGGGATGATCTCATTTGATATTTTAAACAGAAATCCTTAAAAGGTTAAAAAAACCTCCCAAGCCGTCATGCCAGCACATTTCCTTTCTTCTACAAAACAAGACTGAATGTCTCACTTCCAGGTTTGCATAAGGTTCCATTTTTTTTCCTTTCCTACGTGCAATCAGTTTGGTGCAGGCACTTAATATCTTGGTTGTTATTAAAAATGTATCTTTGTATATGGCATTATTGAAAGCGTAGGATCCTCTCATAAAAAAATAAATGATGAATGAGTGATGGATATGCTTTCCTGGATAAAAAATGGTTAGCCTATCGTTTTATGAAAGATTTGTAATGGGGAGGAAGATACAAGGAGCCATCTGGGTCACCTATTTTGTATTTTGATCAGAAGAATAATTTGCCAGAGAATTAATTGCCTGAATTAAATATGTTGTTTATTAGACACATTCATAACAATTTTTCAGGGGGACAGAAAAAAATAGGAAGGTATAGAAATAAATTCTGTTCACATTTGCAAGAGATAACTGACATATCATTTCCACACAAGTGGTTTATAGCATTTTCTGGAGTCATCCGATCTTTATTCTGCCAAAATAACTGCAATGAGAACAGGCTGTATATTACTTCATCAGGGACTGAATGATGCTATGAAGATGCTAGAAGCCAAGGAAGTCACTGATGCAGAAATGACCTCTGCAGATTGAACCATGGTTCAGTGCCTTACCCACCTGGTTAGGGACTAAACAAAATAGAGAAATTATGGCCTCCCTCAGCTATATTGGAAGCAGCTACATTGGTCAGCTTCCTAGCCACCACCTTTATAGTTTATTTTGACCCATTTAAAGATAGTTTCTACACTGATTTTATACTGGTTTTATTTTCTAGCTCCTGTAACGAATAATGAGACAGTTTATACTGAAATCAGAAAAACTATTAACGGTAAGTAAACAAATGGAAAACATTAGATACAAAAGTTAAGTACTATCTCTGCCTGGTACTTTTACACCTATTTTTTTAAAGAAAGAAGAAATCAAGAATAATGAATTCATAGATTGCAAACTCATACCAGTCATAATGAATATTCTTGGAAAGAAGTCTCATGAAATTCTGTGGAATTTAAGTTCTGAATACATATCTGCATAGGATTATAGGAGAGCAACTAAGGCTTATAATTTTCCTGAGAGTAAATCCTATTAATAGGATTTACTTCTGAGTAGTTATAAAGTCAAGGATTATTGTGCAGGCAGTTATTAAACTACTCATCAACATCATGCTGTTGGTACATCTCAGTTCGTCCTTTAAGACATACTTGGTGTTATTCCTGTTACAATTATTTTGATCTGAATACATCTCTCTGAAGTTCCTTGTACGCAGTCATTTAAGCTTGATGTCATCATAAATTGTGGTTTTAAAACTGTCGTTGCTTGTCACCCAAACGAAAGGCCTCATTATTGCTTTCTATTCCTTATTTTTCTTCCCTTTTTAAATGATGGTAAATTGTCCTGTGGAGAGTTGGCTGTGGAGAGTTGGCAGTGGAAAATTGGCCGCAGCGAGTTATCCCATTCTACTCCAGAGTGCCATGAATCTTGTATTTTCAGAGTCTTGTGAAGGCTGGGCCACCCAACTGATTATGTGCAATAGATAGGTGTCAGCTCTTAACAACCATACAGATAGATTTTCTCCATGACAATTAGGGACAGATTGGGCCTTCAAATCTTCCAGCAGTGCATCCATCACCACTGTAAATGAATCTATCCATCCTTTCTGCTGGTTGTCCTCTTCTTCTCTTTCCTTCCACCTTTCCCAGCATTAGCTCCTTTTCCAGAGAGCTAGGTCTTTGCATAGTCCAAAGTAAGATAATTTGAGCTTGGTCATTTGTGCCTCAAACAAGAAATCTGGGTTGATTTCTTCAATACTTTAATTGTTTTCTCATGATTACTATTGTTCAGGTACACAGCTTATTTTTATCTAGGGATGAATGACAACCTTTCATTAATTTGCACAGGAAATAGTGCATGTCAATTTGTACATCTTTGGCAAATGTACAACTTTTTATCTTCCCAAATATGGGGTGGTAATCTCTACCTCTAGGTTAATCTTATAACCAATAATTTTATTCGGAGTGTTTTCTTTTCTTTTTTTTATGTGAAAGCTTTTTAACCAGATTTAAGTTTAAACTTTTGGGGCTGTTATGTTTTACTGAACTTTATCTTTTATAATTTTGGAAAAACTGATTTGGAAAAAATACATATACTAAAAAAGAAAAATCCTTAAATATAGAAATGAAAATATAGAAGGTTTTAAGGAATATGTGGATCTCTTGCTGACTGCTGTTTTCTATACCTGTATTTATGCTTCAGTCCTAAGGGTCTTGGAATAATACTCCAGGGAAGATGTTATCTTCCTAGCTCCTAGGACAGGTATTTGTAACTCTTATGGGCTACCAATGTTGGTGGGAGAGAGGGGGAATAGATCAAAGAGCAGATATTTGGTGTACTGTGAAAGTAAAGGCCTTTTCAATCTATAAACATATGAACATGCCTAACTTGGAGGTAGAGTGGTATCAGCTGGGAGGTAACATCAATAAAATCAGTCCTCAATTTACCATCATAATTGAGCCCAGAATTAAGTTGACCTACCCAACATGGGAGCATGTGACTGCAGGAGGGGCGCATCATGACCATTTACGACAGCCAGGATGCAGGGGTGGGTTCTATTTACCTTTACTACCGATTCGCAATGGGATTGCACGTGCCAAGCTTCTGCGCATGCGCAGATCACCTATGATGACATCTGGGGCAGTGGGCGGAGCCTCCCACCGGTTTTACTACCGGTTCTTGCAAACCAGTCCGAACCGGGGGCAACCCACCACTGCCAGGGTGCTCTAAAGGACATAAAGCATCTCTTCTGTGGGCATCGTAACTTTGAACTGTTGTGAAATGCCTGGTCATTAAATGAGGAGTGCCTATAATGTTTCTATGCCCCAAAGGTGCTTTGTCCAAAACGCAACTGGGCTTTCTTGTTGAAACCAAAGAAGTCCAGTTGCCTTTTGGAAAAAAAAGCACCTTTGGGGGAACTATGACTTGGCTGATTGAGAATCTCAACAGACATTTTTTAGAATGCAAAATTTGATTTGCCTCAACTTGGCTTCGTTTAACTTTAAAGAATTATCGGTAGGAGGATTTTTCTTTCGCTTCCCGCCTCCTGACAGGGGCCTGATAAAATTCTACATTTCCTTTTTGCATCATCACCTAGGGTGAAGTATAGGTTGCTATATTTTATGCAACAATTCTCTTTCGGGAAAATTTATACCAAAAACAAATTTCACTACTTCATCAACCTAAATGAGCTTGTGAAGGGCATGTCTTGCTTCAAAACTTTTAAAATCAGTATTTCATTTGTTGTAAGGAAGAAAATTTGTTTAATCAATGTCACTTGATTAAAAATGTGATCTGGATTTGATTGGCGAGAAGCACCCTTTCATTTTATATTCCACCTTCTCTCTTGCACATATCCTTCAGTTATTTTTGGAAACGTAGTAAGAATGTATTGTTCTAATTACATCTGTTTTTCCTGTGAGATACACAGGAAAAGTGTTTCAAACAGATAAGCAGGACATCACACAACATTAAAAGCAGTTTGGAAGTTTATTATGTTACTTATTGAAGCATAACTATGTTGACTTTAATTATGGAGATAGCTCATAATGGTATTTATATAAAAACACACATTCCGCCCATACAGGAGAATCAACAAAATAAAGAGGTGGGGAAATATCTTGGCCTATGAACTCCATTTAAAAGCTCCACTAGCTTCTGAGATTCTAAGAAACAGAGACTGTGACTTCTAGTCCTTCCTTAAGCATGAAAACTGGAGGGATGACTTTGGGACAGTCACTCTCTCCAGGTATGTTCACTGCCTTGAGTTATTTGTAAAAATAATAAAGGGGAAAAAAGTGTGGCCTTCTGGACTAACAAATCTTCTGAAGTAACAATTTCCAGAGAATTCACAATTTTCAAGCAGCATGCTCAATGCCAGTGTCAACAGTGACATCTGGAAGCATTCCATTTCCATTTCACGGATAATTGGAAAATGTACTTACGTTATTTGCTAATTTCAATTAGGCCTTTCCATAGAAGAGAATTGTGCCTTTCCTCCAAGAAGTCTGGTGATCAATTGTAGGTGTAGCTCTCCTTCAGGACCTACAACAACCATAATGTGGGCTCATTTGGTTTGAGAGATGATGATTCATCTGAAGTCCCCCCCCCCCAATGAATTTCCATGGCTCAGATTGGATTTGAACTAGGGTCTCCTAGTACTAATTCAATACTGCATCTACTGCACAAACAAACTCTCAACACTACACTGACAATAGCTTTATGGAGCTAAGTGAGAAGAGAGTTGGTTCCTATAGGAACACCATGACCAGAGAAAATGTCATGCTGTTACAATATTATCTATTGTGTTAAATAATTTTCTCTATCCAATAGCTTTCTTTACATTCTTTTCTCAGGCACAAAAATGGTGCCAGGGTGCATTCCCCAAATGTTGCCATTGAATTTTAATTTTTAATGTAATGGAAGTGGGGAATTATGAAATGCATGGGGAATCATTGAGGAATTTTTTGTTTTAATTAAGCTGCCACTACATTTATTTTCATTTTTGTTTTGCCCATTTGACATCTACAGCCCAGATAATACAGCTCACTAAATTTCCTCTGTTGTGCACTTCACTCTATTTATGGAACTTTTCTTTCTCTCAACAGTGTGATAGAGATGAGTCTGTCGTGTACGCGCTCTTTTGTTGTGCCTTGAATATTGCCCACTTGTATTTGAACATTTGTTATCATGGAAGGATACAATTGACTGTGAACGTTAGTTTGTTTAGGCATTATCCAAGTACGATCTATCTTTCATTCTCTCTTGACTTGCTGTTTGAAGACACTTATTTTATTTCCCGTTCTATTCTATTTAGTTGATGGTTGTACTTTAAAGCTGCATACTACCTTGGACATATTCCTGTATTAAAAAAATCAGGGTACTCATTATTTTATAAACTTGATGGGCTCTTCATATTATAATGAAGAAAAGCACTGCTTAGGTCTCTCCCAGTTCTTTTTAAATATGCACATCTAGAATGAGGATTATACTGTTTATGTCTTGCTATTTAATAGCCACAAAACCTCCTGGGTGTTGATATGGTAATTGAGTAACAGTACCTAGAAGCCAAAAGGAGAAAAAAATAAGCAAATCAATGATACCAACTGATAAGAATTTGAAGGAAAAAAATCAGAATGAAATCCATGGTTTGAACTATGATTCTTTTCCTTAGAATTGTAGACTTGGAGATAGCCACAAGGAACTGCAATGTTCAATGTTCAGGAAACCCAACGAAACCCTCCTTGAGAGGTGGCTATGCACTAACTTCTTAAAAGCCTCTAGAGGTGGTTCCACTGTTATACAGGTCTTATCCAGAAAGTTTCTCCTGATATTTAAATAAAATTTAGTTTGCTGCAACTTACACCTTTTATTTCTGCTCCTAGTTTTCCATTGGCCATGGAAAATAGTTCAATGCCATGAACATGGCTACTATATCTCCTAAGTCTTTTCTTCACACTGCTCCTCCCAAGCGCCTTCTGTCTTCCTAGGGCTTGTCCTCAAGAATTTCTATCATCCATATTACTGTCCTCTGAAACCTGTCCAACTTGTCAATATCCTTTTGGAAATGTGCCCAGAATCACACACACACTACTCTGGGCATGGTCCCAACAGCATCAGATTGAAGGGAACAATGATATATTTGTGGCGCGGCAGCTGCCACAGTACCTGGATGAAGCTGTCTATCTAAATCCGCTCCAGTCCGGCTTCAGGCCTGGGCACAGCACGGAAACGGCATTGGTCGCGTTGGTGGATGATCTCTGGAGGGCTCGGGATAGGGGT